GGCAACACTTCAGCTGCTCTTTTAATTGCATACATGAAAATTCAGAGAAGCAAACTTAAGTAACACAAAACCATTCGTGTTTGTGATGCTCTCTTAGTTATTGCCTGCAGTTCTGAGAGTCCCACAGCTGGTCCATGGCAAAGTACTTCATATTTACCAGTGCAAGGTAAGAGTTCCAGCTTGTGACAGGCTAGGAAGTCGTGTTTTCAACAGATAAGGGACCTCTCCAATATTCAAGAGCTCTTGTATTTCTATATCCTTCCTATTTTCTGCCTCACCCTCAGCCTCAGAGCGAGGCACCACCCGCTCTCACCAGCCCCAGACATGCTGTGGGACTGCTTCAATTCCACCACCGAATCCCATTCCTTATCTTTGGCTGAGGCTCCAATCCCAGCAGGAAGCACTAAATCAGCACGGCCACCAAGGCAGGCAGGCCCTGCACCTCCCTGCCTGCTGTGAGGGACATGCCCAGAACAGCTCATAAACTGCTTAACTAATTGCCCCTATCCAATTAGTTCACACACAATCTCTCTTTCCACAAGACATTTCCATTCTCTGTTACGTATTTTCCCTCTGTAGGAATACTCAATACTTGCTGGCTTTAGGAATTTGGATTCACTAAGAAGCAGAGAGCAAGAATCCCACCAAAACAGCATTAGACACAACAGTCCTTTAATTCCTGTCTTGTATTATTAACAGGGGATATAACTGCTTCAAACTAATGCTGTTACAGCAGAGATTTAGCATTTTAGGCTGTATTAAACTTACTGTCATCATAATACATGGAAGAATTTTGCTGTTTCTCATTTTTAGAGCGAAGTTATTGAATTTATATGTTTTATTCTATGATGCCTTAGCAGTCCTGTTTTATTCTCTGGCACAGCTGGGATTCCAAGAGCCATCCAAGCACCACCACACCAGAACAGCACAGCTGCCATTCAGGTTTGCTCTGTCAATGAACAATAGATACAAACCCCCTTTTCCTAGTGTTAAAAAAGCAGTTCTGTCTTGGTATCAAGTGCACAGCCCAAGCTGGCAGTTTTCTCTACACTGACTTACAAAAATATTTAGATTCAGAAGAGTATTAATGCCTTAGCTCAGTACAGCAGTGGGCCTGGTCCAAGTTCAATGTTTATTTCAGGATAGTGTGGTTAAATTAACTGGTAATCGCAGTTCATCACCTGCAAATTAGTCTGGTTCCTTCTCACTCATCAAGAACTTTTCATCTTAAAAAAGCTCCACTGACCCACCACAGTAAGCAGCTGTTTTACTTTCACCCTCAAACACACAGAGGCACATTTTACGAATCCCTGAAGCCTGGATAGGAGCAGCCAGGTTTGCAATCATCCCACACACTGAACTCTGATCTCCTGCTGCATACACAGTGGATTGTTTCCTCATAGCCACTTTGGAAAAAAACAAGAAGTAGCTATGTAAAGTTTTATAACATGAGTTTTGATAGCACAGGAATCAGGTTCCTCCCTGAAAATTCCCAAGGAAAGTTCCTGCACCTGTTGTTGATGTTCTTTGGTGGCAAGGCGAGGATGTACAACAGACACCACACAGATAGCAGCCTGCACACCTGGGACTGCTGAGATTGCAGAGCATGTGATGGGAGTGGGACAAACAAACCCTGAAACCTGACAACACTTTTTGTTTTACGCTCCCCAGAAAGCTCCCTCCTCCCTAGCAAGTTAACTGCTTGTCCAAAGTACACCTTTAGCTCCTATTTGGGGTACAAAGCACGGTGCCCCCAAGAGATGAGGCATTCAGGAACAAGGTTTCTGGAGTTTTTACCTTTTCATTCCCAAATCACACAGCCAAGCTGCCAACAGCAACAGGTAATGGACTGGCTTGAAGCTCAACATCAGGACAAGCTTTGTACTTGACCACTTCTTAACCTCTAATAATGAATCTGTGGAGAAGCAGGATCACACTGTGTGTATTGATTGATTTCAATAACAGTCTGCAAGAACTTTCTCATTCAAATCCATCACCTGCTTTTTATGGCTAAGGCTCCAATTGGGTACCTCATCTTTCATTAAGCTTCCCTGCAAACTCGCAAGTGTTGCACAACACCTGTACAACAAGTTTCCTAGACAATGTGGGTCAGGAACAGTTCAAGAAATTGTATTATTGAGTCCATGAGGATTTCCTAGGAGCAGCCTAGATAGCAAAAACACTGCAATATCAGTGTTTCTGCTCTCAAAACTTACATCAGGAACGTCAGCAGAAAAGCAATTAACTCCTAGAATCTGAATTCTCCTAAAATTCTTTCAATGAAGTGAAAGGAGGAAGTTCAGCAGCTGTACAGGCAAGAGCCACGTGCACCCAGGCTCAGAGGGGTGTGCACCCATCTGAAAAAGAATCAGCTCTCCTGTGTGCAGCTGTAAAAGATACTGGTTCAGCCAGTGCTCCACACTGAATATGTACAGGCAGAGAAAATGCAAATTCAACCCCGAATAAACAGATAAATCAGTCTGGAGGCAGAACACTCCTGTTCCACCCTAGTGCTGGCCTGAAAGCTCCCAGCACTTCTGGCGTGAAGCAGATGAGTTTCATTATGTAACAGTACTCATGTCATTAGAGACCTGGCAGTGGGTCACATGCAAGGTTTGAGGCTTAAATAATGCATCAGAGGTGCATTGCCACAATACTTGACTGAGAGTTGGGCTGCCCAGAGGGATGAGTTTCACCTGAGTGCACAGAACCTCCTCAGGACCTTGTTCTGGGCTTTGCCACCACCAGGACAAGGATGGATGGCTTGGAGGTGAAGTTCTGGCCAATTCCTGAGATTCTCCTGTCCGTGCTGCTCATTACAGAGATGCCTGAACTATGAATTCCGGCCTGCCTTTAAACTGATATTGGAGTAAAATTATTCAGTGCTCAGCCACACACCTAAACAACCACCAAAGCAGCATTTATTTAGACACTATGGACAGCTGTAACCTTCAAATAAGTATTCTGCAATGGTTCTTTTAACAACGTGCCTAGAAATGAATTGCTTTCCATTTTAGTTAGGGAAAAAAGTCACTGTGAATCATGCAAATCCACCATTAGAAGAGTGCCCACCACAGCCCCAGTTAGCTGAACACAAACAAAATGCAGATACTGGCACCACAGGGCAGCAGGCCACCAAAAGACCGTGACGAGGTGTGCCAATGTAGCTTTCATTAGACAAATTCTCCTCAAAAAACTCCCCTCAGCACTGAAACCGAGCTTAGTAACACCGTGGCTCGTAGCATTTCGCCCTTCAGACCTGTCAGATAGGAAGTGCTCATTGCACAACTGGATCACCACTTCCAGACCCTCCCTGTGCTCCAGCTTCACCCACGGCGAGGGAGGAACGCTCTACTCCGGGAAGGTAACCCCGCATTCCCGCAGCACAGCCCATTCGGGATGTGCTACCAGCGCCTCCAGGAAGTCACCTTACAGAAATTAAAGGCCATCACTCGGAAATAAACTATTAGCATGTGGTTCTGGTGCAATGAGAGCCAGAGCTGGGGTTGGGGAGAGGCCAGCAGACACCAGAGCTGGCACCTGGGCACCTGCACTGCCACAGCTGCACTGCAGGGAGCCGCAGCAGCTCCCACATTTCACTGCAATACGTGCTTTTTCTTCCAGAAGATGACATTACAACCGGAAACACCGGCAAAACGGTTTAGCCTTTCCTTAGAACTACCGAGGCTTTAACACCATTCGAATAAATAAAACTGAGCAGCACACGGAACACAGCTCGGCCAGCTGCCCTGCTCACCCCCCCGTGCCTTGCAGACCCCGCGCTGGGCCGGGATTTCCCCCTGGCGCTGCCCCGGCAGAACCCGCGCCCCGCCGGCCCGGCCCGCACGGGCACCGCGCCAGCCTCGCCCGCCCCGCCGGGGCACGGCCCGCGGGGCACCGCCAAGGGCGGGATGCCCGGCCCCTCCCGGGAGATGCCCTTCGGGAAGCGCTCCCCGAGCCGGACACCGGCAGGGCGAACACCCCGCCGAGCGCGCCCGGCCGCCGCACGGCCCTCACGGAGGCACCGCGGGCAGGCCCGGCGCGTCTCCCCCGGCACCGTCCCCGGGCAGCTCCCCCGGCGGAGCGAGGCAGCGGCCCGCCCGCCCCCGCGCCCACCTGGAGATGCTCCTGGAAGCGGATGGGCAGGATCTGGGCCATGGCGGCGGCGGGGCGCTCCGGGCCGGGCCGGGCTCAGCGGTGCGGGCGGAGCGGGGCCGCGATGGCGGAGCGGGGCCGTGCGGAAGCTGCCCCCGCCGGCGGAAGGATACCGCCGCGGAAGGATACCCGCACCTGCCGCCGCCGGCCGGCCGCGCGGAGGGATCCCGGCGAGCGGGACCAATGGGAACGGTGGGTGTGATGCGCCGCCGGAAGGGACTATTTGGGGACGCATCACTCCCTTCCTCCCCTCCCCGGCCTTTTTTTTTGCCACATCATGCGACCAGGGGCCGCGGCGTCACTTCCGCCCCGCGCGCGCGCGGTCACGTGGGGCGGGGCGGCGCGGCCGGGCAAGGTGACACCGGGGGGACACCGGGGGGACACCGGGGGGACACCGGGGGGACACCGGGGGGACACCGGGGGGACATCCCGGGGACATCGCGGGGACACCGGGGGGACACCCCGGGAGCCCCTGGACCACCCCCCTCCGCCCCGGGCAGCCCCTGTCACCAGGATGGGAACTCCCCCCCTTGGTGACACTGAGGGGACAGGGATGTCCCCGTCACCAGGATGCGATGGATCCCACCCCCTCTCCTCCCTGGGTGTCCCTGACAGCGGGAAGTGATGGAGCCACATCCCCGGAGGTGACACCGAGGGGACAAGGGTGTCCCTGTCCCCGGAATCCGATGGATCCCCCATCCCGGGGTGTCCCTGGCACAGGGATCCGATGGATTCCCCTCCCCTGCTGTCCCTCACCCCCCGGGCTGCTCCCCCGGACTCTTCCCAGGCCCCCTGTTAATGAGTACAGTAAAGTAACAAAGCTCCACACTTCCCTCAGTGTTTTATTAACTTACACTTTAACTCCAGCACGTAAAACAGGTAAAAACTTTAAAAACTTAACTCTTTTTCTGGGATGAATTCAGCACTCCAGGTGCTTTGCCCAGGGCTGTGTGTGTGCTTTCACACTTGGCATGGCTGAATTCTTACTCTGCAGCTCAGTTACTTCCCCAGATAATTTTTGTCTTAAATTGCCCATCTCTAAACCTCTGAGAAGCCCTGGAACACAGTGGCAGGGAGAGAAAATCCCTCACTTTTTGCTATGAAGAAAGTGAAAAAAAAAAAAAAAAAAATAAATATATATATATATATATATATAAATCAGCAAGCATTAGCATCTGCCAGGTGATTTATAGCCCCAAGGAAGGAACAGTGGGCATTCTGTGCACTCATTTCAGGCCCCACTGGGTGGTGCAGATGGCATTTGACTCATGAGGGGCTGTGACAATGCAAATATAAATCCAATTAAACAGCAAAATTCAGAGCAGAGGATGAGTCAGGCCCAAGTGCTGCTGCTCCAAAGCAAAGCCTGAAAGAACAAAACCCTTTCCCATCAATCACAGGTAGAGGAACAATTAATTACCAGACCCAGCACTTTCTTTATGAGCAATAATATTGTAATATTAAAAAAAATCCTTAGGTTTTGGAGGCTTTGGGATCCTGGGCAGTGCTGAAATGCTTGAGGTGAGGCAGAGGTGGAATGGTGAATGTTTCATTCAGGCTACACCACCACTTGAACCAGTGCCCAGGGTGACACAGAGCACACAGCTGAGGCAGGAAAAATCACAGCAAGTTCTTCCAATTTGGAAATTCTGACACAAACTCCTCACTCGAGCCCTGGAGCATTTTAGGATTATTATGGTGATGAAACAGGACTTCTTGATTGAGAAGGAAACAATCTTTATGATGACAAAGCACCACAGCTCCTTGCTCTTTCAGATGCTCAAGGAACAACACTTATTTCCTTGTGTTTTGTACCTGGTACAGCACAGCACAGGGCAGGAACAACACAGAATGCAGGTGGGAAATGTCCCTTTGGATTTAATCCTGCTGCTTCCACCATTAAAAGAGCCCTTCCTGCACATTTTCCTGAGCATGAAGACTGTGTGACCACCACCAGACAAAATAAAATGGGTAAAAAAACTTACAGTTCCACTCCTTACAAAAATAAACCCTGACTGACCTTTAAGAAAAATACAATTTATAACGGCACTGAGACCTCTTTAAGTGAAATAAATGCCAGAGAATTGGCACCACACTTGGCATCAGGGCTTCAGCCACAGCTGAGGCCACTAAATTGTTGCCACTGACCTGCAGCAACACAGCTCAGCTTGGGAAGCTTTCCCTGCAGGATGCAGCAGAGGGAAGGTTGTGTTTGTGCTCTCTGCACTCGGGCTGACCACAAAGCAGAGCTGCCCCCAGAGTTACCCCGTTTCCTTCTCTGGGCTGCTCAAAGCCTGAGCTCTCTGCTGCTTCCTCTCCAGGTACCGAGCTCGGGCGTCCTGGATGGATTGGTCATCATTCCTCCTCTCCATCTTCCTTGCAGAGCTGTCTGGGACTCTTTCTGTGGGGGAGGAGAGAAAGGAATAAACTCTCTGTGTCAAACCCCACTCCCTTCCCCAGCATTACAAATCCCCCTATTTGTTAAATACCAAAAAACCCCCAACAAAATCTCTTTTTGGGTTTTTTCCCTCCAAGTTCCAGGCAGATATTTGAACAACTTCCAGACTGGACAGACTGCACCAGAGCAGGGAGGGGAAAAAAAATTCAAAATAAAATCATGCCTTAGCTCCCATGTCAATATTGGCAGCTGGGCTCATCTCATCCCCAAATCTTGCTTTTTATTGTAGCAGAGAATATGCAGCCTGTGTTCTACACACCCATTTCTTCTCTGAATTGCACATCCCAAACTCAGGTTTAGGCAGGACAGGACAGGAAAAAACACTAGGATAAACTATCTTTAAAAAATTTCCGGAGGCAGGAGGAAGGGAGAAGAAAACAAGCAGATAATGGAGTGGGTAAAGTCAATATTGCAGATCAGCCACCATCAGAAATGCACATTCCCCCACAGCACTGAGACCTTGGGACTGCTTCTCACAGAAGGGAAGCAGAAAATATTTTTAGTTTAAAATAACAATAAAAAAAAAAATAATCAAAGGCTCTGAGAGCCTAAGATCTGTGTGAGTGAAGCAGCTACTGCAGCCTGGTCCTGGGCACCACATTCTGTGATAAGAAGCTTTAATCAACATCCATTGTTAAAATATTTCTAATTATTATGTCTTGTCAGCTATTCAGCCATCTATATTCCTGAAGGTCCCAGAAATACAACATCTCTAAGGTCAATATTAAACCCCAATTAATTGGCAATTGCCTGATGAAGTGAAAATGTGAAGGGGGACACGGAGAACATTTCCTTCAGATAAACTGATGAGACTCTGCTGAATTATTTACAACCAAATGAAATTCATGTTTAAAATGGTGTGTTTATACAATAATGCAGGGCAGAAATAGATGCTGGTCTGAGCACAAGTCTACATTTTTTCCTTTGTTAAGGAAATGGAAGAGAATCTGTATTTACTGTACCATAAATCGCTGCTTGGGAAGGGTCAGCTCAGGAGTCAAGAGGCCCTTTGAACACTTGGCTGCTTTAGGAACCTGCTGACAGGAGAATCCCAAGAATGTCAAGCAGCCAGATCAATTAGCAGGCACCAGTTCTAATTAAAACTGACTATTTAAACATATGGCATTAAATTATTGTCAGAATGAGACATTCACCAAAATGTGAGATTTTTTTCCTCTGTGTCTATTGCTGGGTGAGGTTCATTGATTTCTTTTTCCTTCTGCCCCACAGCTCTTAGGACTTCTCCCAGGGCAGCATTATTTGGGCATCAATGGCTAAACACCCTTCACAAACTTAAATAACCAGCCTCAAAATGCTTTTATTCAACTCTGTTCAAGCTCTGCTCTAGGACACCAAAAAGGGGGGAGAGTGGTGAGAAGCAGCAAGCAAACACCACAATTCACACTGCTGAGACAGAAAATAAGGACTGCAGAGCTGTGAGGAGAATAAAACAACCAGAACCACAAACAAATTAACACCTTCTAGCCCAGAACGTGACAAACACAAAGGGGTCCAAAACAACAACGAAAACCACACAAACGGAGAGGGATGAGCCCTGTGCTTACCACACTGCCTTCTCAGCTCCTCCCTCTGCTTCCACTTGGTTATTTCCTCCTCAGTCACCTCTTCCCTGGCCACACTGCTCAGCTCGTAGGCGTCCAGCTGGTGCAGCCTGGGCAGCAGGTCCTTGACCCACTCGTAGCGCACGGGGCACACGGTGCGCACGTAGATCTTGGAGGTGACGGCCACGTCGTGGAAGATGATCCACTCCAGCAGGGTCTCCTGGTTGTAGAGCTGAAAAATTCAAAAGTTGTCTCACAGCTGGTTTGGTTTTCAGAGCCCCACATCCAGCAGGATGTCTGTGAGTCAGATGAGAGGGGATGTTATCCTGAATTTTCAGATTTGAAATTGCCTGTGAGAAGCAAAGAGTAGAGAGAAAGTCCAGCCTGTGTCACCCTCACCTCATAAACCAAACCTTTACCAGGTGGTAAAGCAGAAGTGAGGCTCTTCCCCACTCTCAAAATGAACACTGCAGCAGAGCACAAAGCAAACACCAGGGAGAGTTTAGGGACCTGCCCATTATTCCTTTTAGAGATGTTCTTCTACTTTAGCAGGAGGCTTTGGGAACTCACTGTGGATGAAGGGTGGATGTAGACTATGCTGCCATGTCCATCCATGGTGCAGAATGTCCTGGCTGCAGATCTGAGAAAAATAAATAGAAAAAAAAACAACAACAAAACAAAACACACATTGCTGTGATTAGACAGCAACACTGAACTAAACAAATCAGCAGCAGCATAGTAAAAAGTTCTCAAATATCTACCTAGAGGAAGCTGCTTCCCATTTAAAAAGTGAAATACAAGATATGTGATTTACCACAGCAGCACTGCAGGTGTAACACCACAATAACAACAGGGTTTGGGAGTGAAGACTTTGAAAGCTGTGACAACTGGAGATTTCCAAGCCCTTTAGCTAAGTATCTGGAACCACTCATCAGCTGGTGAGTTAATTTCATAGAAAATGACATTCCTGGGAAGCTGCTGACACCCTTGGAATAGTGAAGACAGCCAAAAGCAGAGGTTCCAGCCCTTGCAGAAACATCTCCTTCACCTGCAGTTACTACTTTGCTACTTCTGCCAACATACAACCACACTTCTAAGTAACTTGCATCACTTCTTTTCCATTCAGTTCTCCAAACTTCACTCCTTACCTCCTAGCAACATTGATGAAGTATCCTGCACACAGGCATCTTCTCAGTATTTCAGTTTTGGAGCCTTCAAATGTCTCTTTAGGGAAATCTGGAAGCTGGGAAAAGAAAAAGCAACATGAATCAAGATCTTTCCTCAAGAAAAAGCAGTTAAACCTCCTTCATCACATGGATTTTAAACTCTGGGTTTCTCTCTGTACAGAAACCATGAGGAAAAGCGAAAAACTCTCCTTCTTGTCCATTACCAGCACTGTTCCTGAGTTACACAAGCAAGGGTGCTCTACAAAAATATTTCTGAAGTGGTTTAGTTTCTACTGGAGAAAGGCAGCAGCTGCCTGGCAAAGGCTCAGCATCCACTACATCTCTTAAATCTAAGTTTATGCAGCTCAAACATATCCAGAAATTATATTTTATTTTTACCTGTTTCAGTTTAGTGGTTATTTCCCGCAGCTGCCTTTCCACACTAAAAGCAGATTTCACAGCTCTCCAATGGATCCAGTATTTCTGGCACCAGGCTGAGGGAGACTTGCTGAGAACAGAATTATTTGAATTATAAAGAAGCCCTTTGTAAGCTGCTTGCAAAGAAACTTGCCTCTATTTTATTGTTATGGTCGTACAAAGGCAACAACCTACACAGGAAGATACATTCCTGGCTTAAATAAAAAGTGTCTGAATGGAAATTACAGCTCACAAAAATCTGAAATTAGGGATGAGCACACAGATGTGTGTCTGCAGCACTTTGAAAACTGGGAGTTATGATGTTACACTTACTTTAAGGGAGAATTTCATACCTTGCTTTGCACTGTTCAAAAATATTTAAGAGGGTTGCAAAGTCATTGCATCCTCCCACTTGTGAGGCAAGTTCCTGGTGTTGTAGCTCAGCCTCCTTTTGCTTCTGAGGATCACCTGAGGAATAAGTTACATCTCACTTAAAGTCAGTTTTATTTATCACTACCTTATTTTCTCTTTGTGTGTGTTTGGCAGCCTTGGCTCTCTATTTCTGTTATTTTTAGATTTGTCTCTCCTTCTACAGCTGCATTTACAGTTCTTCCCCCTTCCACTATTGCTGAACAAGAGCATGTAGATGCTATTAAATCTATGATTAATCTCATCACAGCACCAGGGATGAAGAATTCCAGTCTCTTAGAAGGTATTTCTCATTCACAATCCATCCAGAGGCTGACATGGAAAGATAAAGAACAAACAAACAGCTCACAGGGATCAAGTGAGAGGAAAAACAAGACTGTTGAACCCACCCCACCACAGCACCCTCTAATCTACTGAGCTCAGCTTTGTCCTACTGCCACACTAACGGGAGATCTTAAAATAAATAAAGATAAAAACCAGAGCATCTGTGAGCTTAGTGGGAATTCACCTTCACCAAATGCACCAGGCAAAAGCAACACTTCCAAAGTGTTATTCCAGGCTTTTAAACACCCAAAGGATTTCTCCTCCAGCACAACCTACTCCCCTTGGGAGAGGAAGGCAAAGGCCAGTGGAGCTGCTGTTATTGTAGGGGATGTCAGAAGCTTGTGGGTTCTAAAAGTTAAAGGGGTGAAGCAGGGAGGCCTCACCCCACACATCTGGCACTGGAAAAGGTGCCTGGAGGATGGGGATCCGTGTCTGCTTCCTCAGAGCTGCTGGAGGATGACAGGCAAAAACCAAGGGCACAGAGGATGGGAAAGCAAAGGGACAGTCGTGGGATTGGGAAGGAGCCCAGGCTGGCAGCGGGGCCTGTGGCACAGCTCAGGGAGGACAGAGAGAACTGGAACAGAGCCAGGGAGGCACTGGGCAGGACAAAGGTCCCCCACAAAGGCTGCAGATGTGTGCCACAGCTGGGGGTGGGCAGCAGGAGGGGAGAGGAGCAGGGGAGAGACTCAAGTTTAGCACTAGTGAAAGACTGAGTTCAGCCCTAGTGGAACTGTGCTCTACTGAAACTATCCTGGAACCACAGCAAAATTACATTTTCATTTCAAAATTACATTTACATGAGGCAGTGCCAAGTCAAGCCTCTCACAGAAACCTAATAATTTGGTTAACCAGTTATTGAACAGAAAAGACAATCCAGAGGTGATGCCCCATTTGCTAAAAGCAACCAGTCCGTGCTATCTGCACTCAGACCAACAGCAACACATCTGCTGTGGTGCATTTTGGTTTCCTGGTGGGGTTTTTTGGTTTTTTTCCCCTTTATTTTTGCCTCTTCCCTTCTGTCACAGAGATTTCACCTCGTGACCTCTCAGCTTAGGCATATGCTGCTTTCCAGCTCAACAGCCTTGGGACAAACTCAACCCAATCCCTGCTGCTCTGAGGCTCTGGAACAGCTGCTGCCCAATTCCTGGCACACAGAGTGCCCTGACTCCAAGACCATGGAAAGCTGAGAAAGTTTTTTTTTGGGAAGAAGAGCCCCACCTGGACGGATGAAGACGTTTTCCACGGACAGCATGGCTGCAATGGGAAGCAGGAGATCCTCACAGTCCAGGGATGCAGCTTTTATCACAGCACAGGACAGGTTGGGAGGGAGGGGAAACTGCACCAGGAATTCTCCCAGTCTTGTCACATGGCCTCTCCTTATACCAGGGAAAAAAATATAAATATATATATATATATGTAAATAGAAGATTCAATGAAATGATGTTTAAACGTGAATTGGGTAAGAAGTGCTTCCCTCTGGGCTGTGAGTGCCCACACAGGTGCTGGGGACATGGAGAAGTGTAATTAGCAATAAAATTATCCACATTTCTCCAGCTTGCTTGTGTCTGCTCCACAGCAGGCACAGCCAGCTTTATTTTTTTTTTATATATTTACAAGAAGAATTCCTGGAAGCTCAGGATAAGATCTCACTTCCTGTCTTGAGCTCTTGGATGGATCTCCCTCCGAGCCTGAGCTCTGAGCCACAACAGTCTGGGCTGTGCCCTCAGGAGCTCCAGAGCTGAGGTAACTCCAGCCCACATGGAGAAGCTGAATCTCCCCAGCCCCAAACTGTGCTCCATCCCTGTTTTTGTAGACAATTCAACAAACCCCAGTAAACTTCCTGCAAATTAAACAAGGACACACATTCTGCTGCTGGGGAAGGAGGGTAGGACTCCTTTAGTCCACACAAACCACCAGCCTAAGCCTTAGATTTGAAATTCCTCTAGTGACTACAACCCTTTGGTTTTTTACCTGTCAATAGCATTGCACTGGTAAAGTTCCTTCAGAGCTTCCAAAATATGTCTTTCTTCAGGGGGGTCCAAATAGGGAAATCTGTGGTTAAAAACAAAGTAGATTTGTTAGTTTTCATATTTAGAAAAATAATTTTTAAACCTCCCAATGCAGGTTTTCTGGCCAAAGTTAGATAATCATAATAATCATCTTCAGCATATGGCTGTGTTACTGTACAGCTTCCAGCTGAGGAATTTCTGATGACAAATCCCAGCATGGAACACACTAAACTGCATTTTCTACACTTGTATGGTCTTAGAACTAAAAAATTCAAGAGTGAAATGAAATTTTTTGGGCCTAAAACACAATATTTTAAGGATTTTAATATTTAAAGGCATAACCCCCATATATATAATCTAGATAGATATATATAATAATAATAAATATTATATATTAATATATGAATAATTACATTACATCTAATATAGTAATGTAATTATATATAGCATATAATTATTATTATAATTATAATAATATATAACAATATAATTAATATATCAATAATTATATAATATATTATATAACTTATTTATAATATTTATTTTAATATTCATTATTTATTAATATTTATGTTTATTTTCACGATTATTTATTAAAATTAATATTTATTTTTATATTTGTCATTAATTAATATTTATAATATTTTATACTTTATTAATTTCTAAATGCTATATTCATTTTTATATCTTTAAGAATTATTCTATAATTGAATTATATATTATGTTATTATTAATTATATATTATAATTAACTATTTTATTATACATCTTATTATATTAGTAATTATAATTAAGAATCATTAATATGTCATTAATTAATATCTAATTAAATTATAAATAATTATCATAATATTATTTTATATATCATATCATATAATATAATATGATATGATATAATATGATATAATTGATATATTATATGATATATTATTATATTATATCATATGATATATGATGTAATATGATATTATATCATATGATACATTATATAATATCATATAATGTAATATCATAATATCTATTAGTATAATAATAATAATATCTATAATCCTTAATATTTTAAGGATTTTAAGCATTTAAAGGAACACCATGAATTTGGGAGAGATGGGAGTTTTGGCCGAGCCTGAAACTGGACTGGAGCTTGGGATCCAAGCTGGAATTACGGTGGAGAAGAGCAGAAAAGCTGATTGAAGTGTCCCAGTTGGCTGGGGACCTAATCCTGCCTCCTGCCCCTCCGAGATTCCGGGACAGGGATAATCCCCCTCCCTCTGCAGGGAGGTCACCTGATGACATCATGCACGGAAAGGCACTTCAAGGTGAGGATGACAGATGTCAGGCTGCTCCTCCTGATCTCTGGCACGGTGTGCTCGGGCATGCACTGCTCCCAGAACTCCCTGCTGTACAATCCAAAGCTTTTCCCCGCCGACGTCCGGCCAGCCCGGCCAGCTCGCTGCTTGGCTTCGCTCCTGCCCAAAAACAACCAACATGCAAAGCCCTCATCCCCTCTGCTACCACCCCAAAAAGCACAGGGATTTCTCTCTTTCTAGATGGAAGAGGTATCCCTGCACAGCAACTGAGAAATCCAACCGTGCAAGAAATAAAAGAGAATTTCTGTGCATGGAAGGTTTTTTTTTTTAAGCTGCTGAATTCAGCCAGCACTGGTCACACCTCAGACAATGCCAATTCCTCCTTCACAGGAATTCTCCTATCCCTCCTGTTCTCCTCCTTCCTAATTTAGCAAGTTGTATATCCTCAACTACTTTTTACTTGGCAGCAAATAAAGTGGTTTTAAATTATGGGGCTTTGAGGTTGCTGCCTATCTTTGATAAATTTTTTTAAAGAGCAACTAACACAGAACATTATTGCCAGAGCAGCTCCCAGAAACAGCAAGTGACATTTTTAACTCACTTTGAGATGGGAACCACCTCCAGGATGTCCAAACCAACTCGGGGATTATGATTCAACTGCTTCACAAAGCCACTGTCTACCACATATCTGAAAAAAACAATCCAGAGAGGTAAAAAATAGAGAGCTGGGCAGGTAACTGACGCACGGATTTCATCAAAAAGAACACATTTATTCTCTCTAGGCCCTGGTTATTTAGTAGATTTGATTTCAAGTTGGGTTCAAAAACATTGGTCACCTCTAAGACTATAATAATATCAAGGGTTTTTTTACTATACACCCAAGAAAAAGGCAATAGTAGCAGAATAAATGTGTTTTTCCAAACCCAGACCTTTCTGAATTATTCCCTCTGTTACAGCTTTTTATGAGGGACAGAAATCAATACCTGACTCCTTCAATGGTCAGAGATGTTGCAGCAATGTTTGTGGAGACCACACATTTCCTGATGCCTCTGGGAGCTGGCAAAAATATCTTTTTCTGTTGATCTAAAATGACATAAAATGGCAATAAATAAATAAATAAATAAATAAAGTAAAATAATAAAAAAATAAAATAATAAAATAAAATAAAATGAGGTCATCTGGACTTTCAGTTACTCAATATCCCCTTCCTAACTGAGGATCTTGAAGTCATATCCAGTGGATTTGGATTTTGACTGGAAGCTCCTGTGCAAGTAGAGAAGGCTGAAGTTTGATTTTCTTTATGATGACCACAAAAAAACCCCACCCCAAATGCCACAATACTGTAACAAAGGGGTTAATTACCACCCTTTTCCCAACCCAAACAAAAAATTTGCTGAGGATAATATTTATAACAACTCTTCCAGTTAAGATTTATGGGGTTAAGTGACATTTTGTGCTCTGACCTGTGGACATGGAGCCATACAAAGGCAGGATGAGGAGACCATCCACAGCCCGGTCGTGGACCTCGTAGCGGTAATCGATGGATTCTGCTTTCTTGAAAAGCAAATCACAAGCTCTTTCTATCTCATTTTGGCCTAAAAGACACACAAGAGCATTTAAGTGACCTAATTAGTTACAACTCTGCCTTCCTCGTTTGCAACATCTTTAAACAAGGTTGTTTTGTCAACATGCAGAGCTGCCAACATCTTTAAAATTAATGAGAGGGGGTTTAGGAGGTGACATCCAGCCTTTCCACAGGGCCTCTCACCAAGGATTTTCCTTAAAAGATATCTAAGGGCCTGGCCCATGCATTGATGTAGGGTTTTACAGCTAAAATAATTCTTCCTCCCTGAATTAACAACCAACTAAACCATGCAGACAGCACAGAGTCAACCTGGCTATTCCTAAAATGCTCTGAAAATACCATTTCCCAGGACTTTGTGCATCAACCTGCACCTTTCCCTTCTCACCCCTCTGGGAGAAACCAGACAGGCTTTGGAAACTTTTGTGCTTTGCTGGCAATGCCATGATTCACCTGGAGTATCCAGGAAAATTCTCACCTGTGAGGAAAACCAGGATGTCACCTTCTGGTTCATTCAAGTGAACATCCAAGGTAACCTTCACAGCCTGGAACAAACAAAATCAGTTGAAATCCCGTTTAGTTCTTTCTAGGACTCATCATCAAGTGATCCTCCCCTATTCCCTGCAGAGATGCTGAGAACACAACACAGCAGCTCACGCTTGTGGCCTCCCCAAGATGAAAATCACCCCAAAAACACAGAGAAAACAAACCAGGCCAGACCTCTGTGACATAGGCAGAGCTGCTCACATCCCTGGGGCTCAGCAGGTTGCAGAATATCTCCTTGACAGGGTAACTTCTTCCTGGGATGTGCAGCACTGGGCAGTGCCCAAAGAATTCCGAGAGCTTTTCCACCTCCAGGGTAGCTGACATCACCACCACCTTCATGTCTGTCCTCCTGCCTGCTGGCTTCTTCTGCAGGAACAGTTTCTTCAGCAAACCAAATAAAATATCCTAGCAGAAAAATGGGAACAGCTGATGTCAATACCCTGGTTTTGTTAGAAGTGCCTGACAAACTTGGAAATTTGATGATTTTATCTCATTGAAAATCACATATTCCAGGCCTAAGCACTTTGAAGAAAACATGATTTTACCCTGGACATTTTGGTTTCTAGAGTTTAATTCATTTTTTACGAGCTCTTCTCACAGCCTATAGACAGCACCAGTGTAACTCAAACTCCTTTGTTTTTCATTTTTATACTCTCTTGGTCAAGTCATTTGTGAGAAGTTACCTCAGACCCATTTTTCATCCCATTTTCCAGCCTGTCCTCTGACTGTGTGTGCACCTTTCTTTGGTTTTATTTCGTGCTATGACCTCAGCAGGTTTATTTTACTCTGTGGTGCTCTGAATTACAAACCTGCTCCTTCCACCATTTCAGCTCAGTTATTTGCAATACCTCAGATGCCTGAGGGCAAACTGGGATTCGGGAAAGCATTTTCCCTTTTCCCAGCTGGACTGGGAGATTGTTTGGTGGAGCAGGAGGTTCTCTGACACACAACACAATCTCCTGAGGTCTCAGTGACTTGAATGTCCCTTTGTTTGCCACAGAAGGGTCAGGGTGACCTCTGAAAACTTTTGGGACTCAGGTCTAGATGTTTCCATGGACCCAAAATCCATAATCTCTTTGCACAGTCATACACACACCCTGAGAAACACTGGGCCTCAGGGCAACAGAGGTGTTTTGGCTTTTATTTGTGTATTTTGCAATGGTTTGTTTTTTAAATTCATATTCCAGAAAGTTTGTGCTCTGGCTTCAAACTTCCGGAAATTTTGGGAGAGTATTCAACAGCCAGCTAAGTTTTAACTGCATTTAAATGCAACAACTACAAAAACTCCACTATTAGAGGCCACATCTTATTTTAAACTTCTGCAGCATGGACTAAACAAAGCAGCAGCTCTGTGCTCTTAGGACAGCAAAAGGATACAGCACATCCATGGAAAGTCAGTCAAAACCCCTGAGGAACGTGCTGAAGTGAAAGGAAGGTATGAACAGAGCACAGAAAAGGAGAAACAGTGACCCAAAAACCAGATAAAAGGTGACACTCACGGTGCTGAGGCTCCGCTCATGGGCTTCATCCAAAATGATGACACTGTACTTGCTGAGGAGGGGGTCTGTCAGGATCTGCCTCAGAAGGCACCCATCAGTCATGTACCTGATGGCAGTGTCCTGCAAGGTTTAATTAGACATTCAGCTGCCAGCCTGGGGTTTTACCTCAAAGCAAACACTTGTACACAGATCACACGTTTGTCCAGGACACCTCAAGCTGCTCAGCAACATTTCACCTGCGAGGTGCCCAAAAAACATCCTCAAATGAGTTACAGGACACGAACAGCTGGGACAGACATTTCCCAAAGCCCAAGGACCCCAGCACAGCCCCGGTGACCCTGTCACACCCCCAGGACAGTCCCCAGGGCCCCACCTCGGAGGTGCAGTCGTCGAAGCGGACCTGGTAGCCCACGAGAGCCCCCAGGTCACAGCCCATCTCCTCGGCCACCCTCTGTGCCACCGACACGGTGGCCACGCGCCGCGGCTGGGTCACACCGATGGCACCGTGCTTGGCCAGGCCTGTGGGGGATGCAGAAGGGGTTGGGTTGGAAGGGACATGAAAGATCATCTCATTCCACCCCCCTCTTGGGACACCTTCCACTGTGCCAGGCTGCTCCAAGTCTTGTCCAGCCTTGGGCACTTCCAGGGATGGGGCATATTCTCTGGGCCACCTGTACCAGGCCCTCCCCATCCCCGCAGGGAACAATTCCTTCCCAATATCCCATCTAACCCTGCTCTCTGGCAGTGGGAAGGCATTCCCTGTGTCCTGTCACTCCAGACTCCTTCAGGTACTCCAAGCTCACCCTTTGAGCCTTCTCCAGGCTGAACACCCCCAGTAACTATGGAAAGTACAGGGACACCGAGTTGTGCTGCTCCAGATCACTTTATAACACCTAACTATGTAATGTACACATGGCCACAGTTCGGTTTTTTTTTTATTTAAAGTTTTAATCAAGCCACCTCTTCTCATCACAGCCCAGCCCGAAGCTGCGTCACCCTCGAAGAGACAGGGGGACTACAACGTGAGTTTATCGGTGCTTGTGTCCCACATCCGCAGCCCGCGGAGGGGGGGTTTCGTTACCTGCCTCGTAGAGGTACTTGGGCAGCTGCGTGCTTTTGCCGCTGCCCGTCTCGCCGGTGACGATGAGGAAGGGCCGGTCCCGCACGGCCTCCACCAGCTCGCGGCGGGAGCGGCGGATGGGCAGGGCGGGGTCGGCCATGGCGGCTCCCGGGGCTCACCTGCCTCACCGGCGGCCCCGCCCACGTGCGCACCTGGCGGGAACCCGCGCGCGCCCCGCGGGAACCCCCGCGCGCGCGCGCGCCCCCCGGGCCCGCCGTTGGCGCGCGCCTCGCGCATGCGCGCCCCGCCCCCCGCAAGTTCCCGCCTCTTCATTAAGCCTCGCCCCACGCCGCTTCCCGCCTCTTTTGCTCGGCCACGCCCTGCGCTCTCCCCTCAGGCCCTCAGGGCGCCTCAGAGTCACGAAATCACCCAAAAAATGACAAAAACCCCAAAATTACAAAATGGGGAGGGTTGGAAGGACCTCGAAATCAACCGGTGGGGACAACTCCCAGCAGAACAGGCTGCTCAGATGTATTTCCTGACAAAACTTGACCATTGTGTCCACACATGAACTATCCTGATGGAACAACCCTGATTAGAATGAAACCATCTTGCCACATGTTTTAAAATCTGAGGGACAAGAAGGGATCTCGAATTCTGTCATAAGTCAGAGTAATACTCTCTTTCCATAGGTCAGCTAAGGGCCCTGTTACATTACACAATTCTGAACAAAACGCAATTGTACACGTATAGAAAATAATAAAATATTGATAAGCAAACCTGCTTCACCAAAACCTCTTCCTCAAGACAAAAATTTCTTTGATGTTTGATCTTTTTATACTTTCAAGCCTAGTCAACAAGAGATGAGATTCAATGTCAGAAACAGAGAGCAACCAACAAGCTCTAAGTGATGTGTTAGAAAAAACAAATTACCTGTTAGAATTTTTCAAGTTTAGGGCTGGACATGCTTCAGTGATCTCAGACCTAGGGGTGGGTTAACAAAGCTGTGGGGAAAATAAAGGATACCCTCTGGTAGTGGACACAAAGAATGCAGAATTTATGGGACATTTATGCCAGTTTCTGGCAGAACTCCCAAGATACAGAAGAAACTGATAAACCCAGCTCAGCTCCAAGTGGGTAAAAGGTAATTCTGGTAATTCTGTGACCCCCGACCCAAGCAACCCACTGACCCAAAAAAAGAGAAAGACTCAGCACGGCACTAATTAGCATCAGAAGCGAATCATTAACCAATAGAAGATAGAATACAAATTAACAAGTGGACTATGTGACTGATGGCAAATGGACACTAACTCCTTTTTTTTGCTAAAACATGTAAATAGTAAAAGATTTTGATAGTTTTGATGATTCACCCAGGCTTGGCAAGGCTGAAATAAATAATCGATGTCTCTCTGGGATGTGCAGTTATCGCCTTGCTGCACTCCGGGTAACAAATCTGATTTTTAAGGACATGAATAACCCCAAAACTCCCTGTGATGGGCAAATGATGCAGCACCGGCTGTGAATTCACAGCAGACCTGAAGGTGGCAAGCGCTGAACACTGAACACAAACCAGCCGCAGCCCAGCTCCCCGCTTTTCCCCAAAACATGTTTTTTTTTGTGTATTTTGCCCGTAGATCAGTGTTTGCTCCCCTCACACACTGTTGTTTCACCTTCTGTTAGGCTCTAGCAATGAAAAGAATCACGCAGTAAATTTGGTGTCACACCAGGAGCAAATTCAGGCCACCCACTGAGTCTTGTTATCCCAAATTCCCTCAATTTTTGCCTCTGGCACAATGGGAGAAATATTTCCCCATTAGGAACACACACTCTGAGGCTTGGAAGATATTCCATCAGTTGTCACCTTCAGTTATGTCCAACCTACAAATAATTGTTTATTCTGCCAACAACCTGGCATTGTAAAATCCCACAATAAGCTGGTTTGCAAAAATCTGACAGAAAAATAGTGGAATGTGCCAACACACACTATGTTGGTACAACCCTTTATGGAAAATACCATATTTATTGCCTCACTATTTACTTATGTCATGTTGCCACTGGTAATTTACAATTAATGGTGATCATATACACATTTGTAACTTCAAACACGTCCTCATTTCACTTTTTGGTGTATATTTACCAAGAAATATTTAATGGTTTTAATAGGCACACATTTATGCACACATACTTGCAGTCTGCATGATTTTATTTAAATCACATCCTTCTTTTGGCAGGCATAGGGCTAGGTAAGGTTTTACAATTTTCTTTCTTTTTGTCCTCCTCCCAGCCTGGGAATAGCAGATTTGGTTTTAATAAACCTCTTTGCAGTCTTGAACTTTGTCCTCCTGGAATACAGTGCCATTCATTTAAGGATTTCCCTCTGTCTAATAAACATTAATGAACCACACTTTACAATTCCCCTGTGATCTTATCTCAGTTTCACAGATGGGGAAAACAGGAACAAATTAAGGGGTCTGCACACACCACAAATCAAAGGCAGAGCTGGGGGAAGAATCCAGGAATCCTAGCACAATTCCCTGCTCCAAAAGCAGAAATGTGTGCCTATCCCTGCAGCTGCTCTGGCAGTAACTCTGTTGCACAGGGCAGTATTGTTACCTTCGGGCCATCCAGGAAGACTAAAATTGCTCTTTTCCTGAGGTTTAGCTCCCCACAGAACTGCAAATTCTGTGAGGTGATAGAGGGCTGTGGCTCTGCCAGCTTCCTCTGCTGGATTATCCCTCAGGATGTCTCTATTCTCTTCTGAGCAGAGGATCTCTTCTCTTTTCTGATTAGCAGAGATGTAGCAGGATGTGGGGAATATTCCAGTCCCTACTGGTGCACCGTGGGGTTTATCCATCTTTCCCAGAAGAGAGGCCTGATTTCCTGGGGAATTTTCATCTCCTGGCACTGGACAATGTGGCCCATTCCATGTGCCCGTGAAGAAAACCACGTGTATTAATTACATCCAGCGAGGAAAAACAGGTAATTGCCTTGTGCCTGGAATCTCTAAGTAGAGCCACTTTCTAGAAGAACAATCCCCGATTTCAGCAGAGGCAGAAGAAATCAATGTTCCCTGCAAGCTGCACTCCTGTCAGACACCCAGCAGTTTTTCTGACAGCCAGGATTTTTGTGGCACTGGCTGTGAGTCATTATTGAAGAAGTGTTATTCTTAAAACAGAGGAAGAGTGCTGGAGAAAGGAGGTGTTAGACAGGAAAAAACCCAAACCCCTTTCACACCTCCATCTGCTGTCTTACAGTGCCTTGCTACCAAACATTTACAAATTGACAAGTTTTATTGCAAATCTTGCTCCGCCTGTTAAAAATTGTTTCTTTTTGAAGACAGAATCAGACATTTAGCCTTTCTCTCCTACAATGAATATATTTTCTTTGTGTTTAGCTCCATGGAAAACAACAATTCCTACTGTGCAGCCTTCTGCCAGGACAGCCAGGTTATTCCTAACTGCACTCCCAGGTTTCTGCTAAAAAAAGGCTGCAGGAAATACAGCACTGGCAGGAATCTGCACTGGTTTAGATTGGTTCCTTCTGCAGGTGGGCAGTGTCCAGCCAGATCCAAGCTGGGAATTGCTGTGGTGGAATAAAATATTTTTGTGCTGGAAAGGGATTTGCAGTTCTCTGCTGAGAGCCCATCCCAGCTGCGGCATTGAGAAGCTCCTCAGCCAGGTGTGACCGAGCTATGGCACAAAGGGTGAGGGAACTGCTGCAGCAACTGCTCGTCCTCCTGTTGGCCACACAACCCTGTCCTGCTCACCCCAAGGCCGATCCCATTCCCCTTCCCAGCTGCTCTGGAGCTGTGCCTGCACATGGCCTGGACCTGCAGAGAGTCACAGCCACACGCTCAGGTCTCCGTGCCCCAGTTCTGCAAACGTTTCTGCGCAAACATCATTGTATCCAGCAGAAGAGACCCGGCATACTCACTGCAGGCCTCGACTGATATTCCCAAAGCCCTGCTTTCTCTTTAAAGTTGGTCTAGGAAGTGATTTTGTTGATTTGCCCCCCTCACATGTATGCCTGCATCACCCTTTTTAAATTTAAAACTCCAGTGTCAGATCTACAGCTGTTTCTGAGGCCACATCCATGGATGATTGCTGCTCCTGCCAGGTGCAAGCCTGAATAAAAAGGTCACGGGCTGGGGAGAGGATTAAGCTTTGGCTCAGCTGTTTGCATTCTCACACAGAGCACGGTCTGTCCATCCATCTGTCTGTCAGCCCTCACACACCATCCAGACAGGTGAGGAGCTGAATACTGGAAACAATTCAGTGGCGCTCGTACAAAGCCACTACACCGTGTCTGTGGTTTAAAAAAAGCTCCCCCAGCAATCCTTCATGCAGCCCTTGGATCAGTGAAATTATCTGTGCAGAAATATAAATGCAGAATGGCATGGGAACAGTCTCCCTGGAGACTGGGGTAGGGCAGATTGGAGAATACCTAAATCTCTAAATGGTGTCTGAGATTTTCATGTTAAATTGGAACATTTTCTTCCCACGCTTACCTAAGGAGATGAAGGAAGGGAGCTTATGGGCACTTAGCACATACACTGAGAGCAAGCAGGGAAAAAAATCCAGGAGGCATGGAGCAGATCCATCTCCCTGCATCTCCACCTGAAATATTCCACTGATTCCTTTTGTACCTGCAGCAGTGAAAGCTGTTGGCTATTTTAATACCTTCTCATTCTCACACTTGCAATTCTGTTACAACCCATGAGGGGCTTCTAATCTATTTCTGTATGTTAGACATCCTTCCTCTTCTGACTTCCTTATCAAATGTGCAAAACAGTCAATAATTCACTTAGGCCCTACGTTCCCATTAGAGTGCACCATGGCTGTGATTTAAATATATTTCTGTGACTGCAGAATGAGCAGATATCCTAAACTACCCTGGAAATGCCCTCTTAGATGTGACAGCATCTCCTGCTGTAGTTTTATTTCTCCAGCTGTTAAATCTAGGACAAAATACTACTCTTTTGTTCTATATTAAGACCATGGAATAACAGCAGCTGACTTCCCAGCCTCTGTCCTCATGGAGGGGAATGCAGGGTGAAGCATTAACCCCTGGCATGAGCTTTTCTCATGCTAAGTCATTAAGCAAAGCCAGATCTCCTTGATGCTGTCCTGCACTGGATAACAAAAAACTGGAGGTTGATGAGCTGGGGGTTGCCTTCCTTCCCTTCCC